TGTGGGGGGGGGGGGGAGAATAATCAAAATATCTACAGCTGACCCTAATGAGAACACACCATGTGCTTATTTGTTTGCGACACAACGGACTGCTCTCAGAGATGTTACTCAAGATGTTGCAAATTCTCATACAACCATATGACAACAAGGGGGAATGAAGGGACCAAGCGTGGTGTGATGCCATGCACAACATTCTTAAACTAGGGCGGGGCGGGGGGGGAAGATACAAGAACACTAGATGCAGAAACAGCCAAAACAATTATTGCAGCAGAATAGAGCTTATATACTTTGGAGAATATAAGAAAACAGAGGTGTTTCTGTTTACCAGCCACAGAATACAATTCAAAATTCCTGGAAACCACATGAAAAAAAATATGTGTTTGCTGACATTATAATCCTGAGACAGACCATAATAGAGAAGTTAAACATTTCATGCAGTGCCAGCCCTATGCTTAGCAGCAGCACAGACTACACTCAAGTTTGAGAGCAGCTGATGGAGTTACGGCTGCTCCAAAGCATCAATGCAAGGACCTTGGTTGTGAGAGGTCTGAAGAAAAGATAATGGGAACCTTCTACAGAGGATCTGCAGTTCCTCCTATACAAAAACGATGAGTAACGTAGGTACTTCGGATCCCACCAAAAATTTCCTGGTGGTCTTAGGTCACCACTCTGCTGTCGGACGAATCAGTGCTAAGTTTAAGACTACTAGTTGTATCATATACATGCAGCAACGCGCAATTCTGCTTTGGAGAACGCTTACACAACCTTTAAGTCATTAAAACAGTTAAAAACTTATTACAGAATAAAGTGCAAACCTGCTTTCCAGGCATGGTGTAGAAGGTAAAGTCAATAATTTTTTAGATTCATACACATTAGCTTCTCCTACATTATTTTTACATAAATAAAAACTAAAAGAATCTCTACCAGAGCTGAGTGTACATCTCAAAGCGCTGAAAACCACCCCAAGAGTTGCCCTTTTAATAATAAGCATCATGTACAGACCTCTGCTAGTTTGTATGGTAAGATCAGCTTCTCTCCTACTGTCACTGTCTTTCTGGTAACCAGGGCCTCAAACAGCATCTCTTCTTTTACCTAAAAAGAAAAATTTTGATGTTAATGATTATTCTATGAATAAAATTTTTAAAACCTGATTTTTTAAAAAAAATAAATTTTAAGTGTGAACATTTTCATTAATTTAAAATTTATAATTTTTTTTAAAATTTAAAACGCTTTTGCCAGCCCTTGAAGAGTTAATGTTCAATGCATAAGAACAAGCTAGCCATTGGGAGGAGACAACTCAGCACATAAATCCAGTATCAGAAATCAGACACCACTGTATTCAAGGGAACCTGATTTTCTGCATTCAGTCATCGCATTTTTAGCAATTTCCCATTGGTTTCCTTCATTCCCGGTGCAGCTCCTCTCTCCCACACTTTTTGTTGGCAAAATAAGTCAACCTTCTAGTGTTGTCAAGATGACATCATAGAAACTACTCTAAAAATAAGCAAAATAGTGTCATCAGTTTAAGAAATATCCAAGTGGAAAGGTTTTTTGATGTTTTTTAGGGTGGGGAGGAATTAGGAGGAGGAAGAAACCTTTTGAAAAGCACCTGATATTTACTCCCTAAAGACGCCCGTTCCCTGCGAAACAAGAATCTCGAATCAGCTGAAACAGAAACCAGTTTGCAGAAAAAAAAAAAAGCAGTTGTGTAAACACAGACACTTCGGCAAACAGGTAAACGGTGCCAACAAATTAAGTGGTACCTGCCACAAATTTTGGGGAGAAAACCTCTTTTCTGAGGAGTTTCAAGTTCCTCTTATTTTGATATCCCCTGGAGAAATTCAGAAGTGTGCCCTCTCTACCAGGATAGATGGTGATCTGCTTATACATAAGTTAGACCTCAATACTTTGACTCGTTGACTGCTCTTTGCTAAATTTCAATGCCAAAAAACAATTGCTAGTCTGGGTGAAAACCTCTGAGTCCAGAGTTAGTAGCTATGGATTGATATGGAGATGTTGTTGCTTGAGAAGCTGCACTGAAATCTATACAAGCTGCTTATCCTAACTGAAGGACTCCACACAGACACCAGATCTGCTCAGAACATCTCTGATGAAGAATAGAAGCACCAAATCCACATTTCTGAAGGCATCCAAGGCTGTATTTTTATCCCAGGTAAACCATTTATGATTTGACACAGATGATGGGAAACTTAGTAATTTATGTACTTTGACTTATTGGTTTAATCCAGTAATTGGTACAAAGAGTAATGCAAATAAGTCAGTGGAACTTAAGAAATCTCAAACCATCGCAATAATTACGTTTTCTGTACAAAAACCTACTTTCTACCAAAAATACTGTGATGCGTGTCTCCCTGATAAACTCCAGTGCATTTTTATATAACTGACTTTTCCTGCAACACCCACTAACAAGAACTTGTTGCTGTGGTGCAGAAAGCAGAAAACATCAAGTCATCTGTATCTGACCTTCACCTACCAGCAAGGTCTATGTCATTGGAAATCAAACGTCAACACCTTGGGGTTCATTTCATTAGTCCTCAGTAATACCCTAGAGCCCCCAGTCCCTGTGATCTGATTTTACCTCTCAAAATCAAGTGGAAAAAAGAAAAATAATCTTCTGGTTCATCTGGAAATCCTCAGTAAGTTTTTGCATTTGGTTTCTATTCCTCTACATTCAGCAAAATGACAATTTTCTAAAATTTCAGCTCTGCAGGTAAAACGCGGACACTTTTCCAGCAGCTTGCAACGGCAGGACCATCGGCTGCCCGCCCTCAGTCGCACAACTTGGAACAAAAGTGAGTTTTACACAATCCGTTATCCTACTTCAGGGATGCTGCAAACCTGCAGCCAGCACGTTGGCTTTTTTTAATTATCAAAGGCAACAAGGCAGAGGAGTATCAGATGATTACTAATCAAAACAGCCCAACGTAATATCCTTAAACAACCTAAATGCTTCCAAGTCCCAGATTTGTCAGCAAACACAGGGATTTTAAATGGTTTAAACAACTACCCTCACCATTCTCATTTAACGTTCACCCTGGTTTCCTTCTCCCCCTGTTCCTCCTGATGGATGAGACCGGCAGATGTGCGTCCTTCATCTCCAGACTTCTGGGAGCTGACCCGGATGGATCGCATCGAATCACCTTCTCATACAAAAACATACTTGGCAAAGATAGGAATTTAAGCCCTGCATCTCCCTGGGTCTCTGCCTGCATTTACAACCCAGTGGAGCCTGATCTTCGATCGCTTCATCACCTCTGAGAGACAATACCATGGGTACAGCCAAATTATCCTAATTTTCATTTAAGGTCACAGCTTGAACATAGCTGACTCCTGATGACAACGAGGAGCCACAGGAGCTTTCTAAAGATAAACTCGGCACACGCTGATGACTAAGGACACCTGGTGCATGGAGAAACTTGCATCTTCCCCATGGCATATATCCTGTGCTTCCTCCTCCAGCAAGTGCGATACACTAAAACAGAGAAAAAACATCCTAGTAGATTAGCAAAGAGGAGAGCACAACTTACTACTTTATTTTGTGCCCTGGGAGTTACACTTCCAAGTTATGTTTCATGGATTTTTGCTTTCTGGTGCCAAAGGGCAAGTCCTGCTCTCCTTCTTTAAAAAAAAAAAAAAAAAGCTACAGGAGTTTATATCTTAATTACAGGGACAAAATACAGATTTAAGACTTCACTGCCACATGCAAGTCAAACCAACGCTGAGCAGACTGGATGACTAGAGCTCTAAAACCCAGTGAAGGATGACCAGCAATGCTGCCACGGCTATAAACGTCAGCAGAGCGCAGCGGGGAGCAGACAGCCAGTTGGCTCCCACAAGGGCTGGGCTGGAGCCAAGGCAGGCAGAGATTGCTTCTCCAGTAATGCTGGGGTATTATGTTATAGCAGCTGAAGAAAAATGAACCTTTTCCAACTCAAGAGCAAGAAAACATTGCTTTTTGACTCTCGTCCCATATTTGAGAAAGGTATTACAGTGTTAAACACTCGTTCAAAAGCTGCCTGGTGTGGAGTAACAGAAGATAAAATTCAGATTTCTATCAGTTCTTCTTGAAAACGAACTGAAGTTTTCCTTCAGGCTTTCTTTCAAACAACCAGAAAGTTATCTGACTCAAGTTCTGGGTCAGAGCTTTGCATCCAATGAAGATGTCCCTGCTTACTGCAGGGGGGTTGCACTAGATGAACTTTGGAGGTCCCTTCCAACCCAAATCACTCTATCATTCTGTGATCCCCAAAACTTAGTCTGGAAAATGGATCCAGAAGAGAAAGCTGGATGCAAGCACTGGTTGTCTTATAATCCTCACCTTTCTTTTGCTCCCCAATTACTTTCTAAGATGTTTATCACATGAAGAGCACATCTGTGGGATCCCTCTGGGAAGCTGAAGACAATTTTTTAGTAGAAAAAGAAACTGAGCACATAAATCTCCCATGGAGGTAGACATTAGCTCCAAAATCTAACATCATCAATACAAAAAAGAGATCTGGCAAAACTAATTTAGGAGATTTGATAACTTATATTTACCTTTATTTGCAATGAGGTTGGTTACCTAAGCCTAAAGACTGAATATAAAACTGCTCCATTGAGCAAAGACAGAATTTGCCTTCCTTACTCAATGCTCCATCCATGGAAATAATTTCCAGTATTAGCACATGTACACAATTAAAATGGACCTGCTCTTCTAATGGAAAAAAAAAAAAAAAGTCTCTCTTAAGGTCAACTGACACTAGATCATTTCTAATAGATTGCTTTTGTTGATAAGCCCACAAATGAGCCTTTCTAGGCTTTTCCCCAGAAACACAAAAGTTTTCCCCAGTTTTACAGAATCCTCTATGATTTCTACAGAAGACCGTTGATACTTGCAGTGCTTGCACAGGACTCCATGTCTGCTCGATCCATCAGGCAGGCTTGACATCATGCTACAGCACGGCATTTCAGCAAAGTTTAAACAAAGGTCATGAAAAACCTGCCAAAAGGCTCGCATAATCCACACGCTACGTCTATGCTTTAAAAAAAAAAAAAAAAAAATGGAATCAGGGTCTTACTGTAAATGAAACAATGATCTGCAGAATCTGGCCAAAATCCTATATTGCAGTTTGCTTTTTCAACAACTGCTGGTCTGAATGTTTTAATAAACCAAAAACATATTGGATGGGGTTGTTGGTATCTAAGAAAAATCAAATCCATCGCAGATCATTATCTCCTCCCAGATTCCTTAAAAAAAAAAATATCTGTATATTAGCTTCATTTTATAGGGACACAAATCTCTTTATACAGAGGAAGGATAGGTGTTCAGTGTTGTTGCATTAACTGCTGCAGCAGGGAAATTCCCCCAGTTGTCCTTGGAGGCTCAGAGGCTCCAATGTACACCAGCTAGCTCACGATAATTTGGGCCAGACTTTCCTTTGGAGGGTGAAAACATCTTAGCTTTGCGTAAATTTTTCATTTGAGCCAGGCTGTTGGTTCCCCTCCTCCCCATGAAGGCTGCTGCCCCACCGGTGCCATGCAGGAGGACTTCTACATCCCTTCTTCTTGGCTGCTCTCAGAGATGGCCAATTCAGCTCCTGCTTCTCAGAGTCTTTCCACCAAGTCCAGGTGGAATATTTTCTTCTCTTTTCCATGTCAAATCCTTGACTGAACAAATCCAGCAAGTCATTTAAGGAAAAAAAAAACTCAAAGCAAAACAGCCCCCCCCAAGTAAGTATCATCACAGAAAAGGTGGTTTCTTCTATCATTTTGCTACGCTCAAGACCATCCTGCCAAGCACCCAGTGGCTGTATGAAAACTATTTGCCAACTAATATTATTTTTATTCCAAGATGATTTTTCAGTCTTAGCGAGTAATGCCAAGATCCAGAGAGGGGATTAATAACTTTTTCAAGCCAGTTCATATTTTTAGAAACAATGGTAGGAAAAGCAAAACTGTATACTGTTTAGTGACCACAAGAAAAAAGTAATAAAAATAATTACCTTAATAAGACAAAATACAAAGTGTCAAATGTTTCAACCAATATTTTTGGTCTTTGCCCAAGAAGAATTCACTACACTTAATTTGGAGAGTTGTAAGTAGCTAACGAACAAATAAAGTGCAACACATGCTCTTTGTAATGCTATTTCATCTGTTGGAATTCTACAGCCATCCCTTTTGGCCAAATCTGAATAAGCATTACAAGGTCTATTCAGGTCTGCAAAGAAACAGAAGTCAAGCATTTCACAAAGAGAAATCAAGCCTCTTCTGAAAATGAGATTATTGGTTTTATTTCAGCTGATTGGGGAGTGGGTCTATCAGAAAGTTTACACTTGGAGGCAATCAATGTCTCCAATTCCATGGATAAATTATCATAAAAATGCAACTTTAAGGACAAGCAACACCACTTACCCAAACTCAGCAATGTATTTCACCACAAGATCATACCTGAGATTTGCATTGTCCTGATGTAATTAACAAGCATTTTATGCTGTATATGGTCATTTAGCTTGCAAAAGAATTACCAAGATGAACAGAAATCTATCACTTTGCTCAGTTACACTAGATTCCAGTGCTTTTTCAAAATGGTGAAGTTAAATATATATATTTTGTTTGTTTGTTTGCTTTAATACTATTGACACTATCTGCAAGTGAGCATGGTATCTGTGCTCTGTGCTGTACCAGACCATGGCACTAAGCTACCGTTGGATATGTATGGCTCAACTGATGCATCATCTCACATGTACACATGCAAAAAATAACCCAATACCTTCCAGCACGCAGATGTTGCAGAAGAGTTTGTTTGCAGAAGAAAGCCAGGGCAAAGACCCAAAGCCTGGAACTTTTTCAGATCTCTAAGTCACTCTCTTAACCAAAGCTTTTTTAAAAAACAATTATTTCTTAAATGACTTGGCGCTCTCGCTATGGCCATTTTTAACAGGGTAAGATCAACAACATTCTCCTCCAAACTCATATTTTCCTTCTGTTTATTTCTGCAATGTCCAAGGCCAAGATGCAAAGAGCATCCAGCTGCTTATACCCATATTTTACAGCAGCTTTCCCCTCCCTAAATTCAAAGCATTAATGAAGTGCTATGAAAATTTGCGAGAGGTAATTCCAAGTTCTTTAGGTAGTGAGACAGCACAAGTGTTATTTAAGGGAAGGAATGGGAAAACCATCACGTGTACACAAAATGATGAGTTATCTTCTGATGCTACCATAAAATTAGCAAAAATTAACATTCCACACCAACGAGCAAGTACAAAGGGACAAAGAAAATAGTTGTTTTAATGAACTACAAGTATAACACTTCAGTATCCTTTGGAGTTACAAATGGTTTGGAGCGTTTCAAGAAAAGTGAGACGGCAAGAACTTCTGGCCACCTATATCCGCATCAAGAGGTGTTGAGCTCAGCTCTTGAACATGTAAGGCAAGCGCAGGACAAGTTGGCTCATTGCAATGAAGACTTTTCTCATGAAAAAGTAATGCCACAGCTTCATAACCTGCTTGGGCTAACAGAGCAGCTCTCCTAAAAACTTACTTAGCACTTTTCCACTGATTTACAGAATTGGATATGGCCCTGGGCCAACCAGGTTGAGATCTACAAACTTTCCCAAATGATTCTGGCACAGCAGTGATGCACAGAGGACAAAGTGCTTTCAGTAAAGAGTCTTAAACAGCTGATGGCATCAACAGGTTCACAGAAGAACTAGATAAATGCATGGATAATAGGTCCATAAATAGATACTAAAGGGATGGGATGCACTCTCCAGCATCTCTAATACAAACTTTGTGGATGCTGGCAGGGTCACAACAGACAGCAAAACACAGCAAGTGAGCTCAGCATCTCCTACAGCTGCCACCTGAACCAGAAGAATGGGCTGATGGTCTTACAACTGCTCTAGTTTATTGGAACAGATTTCAGAAGCATCAGGGAATTTTGGTGAGGGAGCTGATGGCTGGTGATTGAAGAAACTACTGCACTGAATGGCAGGTTTGCTTTCCACCTAGAACTGGTTTGCAATCTTTCAAATTTTAATCAGAGAAACAGTATTTTCAGTCAATTAAACCTGAAGCTGAAGAGTAGGTGAAAAAACCCTACATTAAAAACTTCATTAAAAAAAAAAAATCTTTGTAACTTTTCACTGGCAAACATGAACAGTCCATATGAACAGTAACACAAGAGAACTTAATCTTCAGTGAAACTGGAAATAAATTCCATTATAAAACAGAGCTGGCTCATTAGGCATGAACTTTACAGGATGGAAAGTGAAGGCTTACCTCCAGCAGGTCCGACACAATAGGTAGTATTTCAGGGTTACAAATATCAATGGAATCATCCCGGTAAGTCTTCTTTTTGTAACGTATGTTACCCAGGTGTAGTATCGCAGACAGAAGAGAGAAAATTCTAAAGACAATAGAGAGAATTCATTTTCACTCGGTTGTTTTTTCTTAAAGCTAACGAAAAAGCAAACCACATCCCCAAACATCCAAGTGCCATTTTTGGTTTTGATTCATTCTTCTAATTTTCAGTCCAAAGCAGTTTATGTCCCAAACCTCCAAATGTTCCCTCAAAAATAATGCCTAAATGAAGCATCCAATTTGCCTCATGTAAAAAATATTTTCACTTAGTCAAGTACCAAACTTGCATTGGTACGGCTTTCTTGAAAATTATTTAACACATCAAATCCATGGTTATAAAATGGCACGCCATACTACAAGAAAAAACTAAATCCTCGAGTAATCTAGATATCCAGATTAAATGTCTATCATGCAATTGTCTAAATTAAGGGGGAGACCGGACTCAGCCATGTAGGTGGTATTTCTTAGTCTCCTGGCACACGTATTTACCACATTCTCAGATCGAGTCCCAGATAGGAAGACTACACAAAAAAGCATAAATGCTTTTACAATATATAAGCATACTGAGACAGAGAAAAGATGTTACACTTCAAGTAAATTTATCCAGCAAATTTTTCTTTCTTTTTTGGAATTTGGTCACGTTTAAGTTATATCCTCACTCCTCCAAAAAAAGAGCTTTTTGAGACTACCAAGTCATGGCTGACTTCAGCTATAAACTCTGTTGGTCCCTATTTCTATATTCTCCAGGGAGCTAAAAATTAATAAAATCAAATTTGATTCCTACCCATGCCATCAGCTTATCTGGACAATATACCTTCACCTCTCCAAGCCAGTCCTTCCTTATCTCTAAACAATGGATACCAATTCTTTATCGTGAATTACAGGGACACAATTATAAAAATTTCTCTTCTGTAACTGTTTCCACAAAGGTGAAACCCCGTGTTTTGCTATAAACAATCACTTACAAAAGTACAGTAATAGTTAAATGTCCTTCCTTTTTATACTCAGCTGAAGGTGGTTACTTATTCGTGTTAGACTTGTACAATGCCAAGCAGAATAAATTTGCTCATACAGCGAAAAATGCACTGGTTTTTGACAAGCAAAAATTCACTAGGAGAAATACAAGAACTTATGCGCCAAGAAAAGTTATTGCATAGTAAATCAAAAGCATGAATTTACTGTGACATACAACTCTGCTCAGTCCTGACACTTACTGATTGCTTTACTCCAACAATTATACTCCCTTACTGAACCCTAAACAGGCTTTAAAAAACCTTGTTGCTGAAACCTGATTCTTGAAAGATAAGGAAGCATGCTGACATGCAACATATTTACACTAGAAGTATGTATACTTGGGTTTATCCACGTGTGTGGAACAGATTGAGAAAAAGCAGTCATTTCATAATCGATTTGTTACAAGCTAGGGATAAATGATAAGCTTATGAAAAAGATTCTCGGGTAGGTGAAAATTTCTTGTTGGAACAGAAGGTAGGACAACGTCTCACAGTTAAGGGCTTCTAACTGCTGGCTCTAATACATGTTAAAAAGCAAGAAAAATGGTGCTTAAAAGAACAGGAGGTAATCCATCCATTTGCCAAAAAAAAAACAACCCAAGAAATAAGTTATACTTCAGCATCTTAAACATCATTTACCCAAGCTGATGAATAGGGTTTCAAGAGCCATTAGTACAAAGCAGTAATTATCTGTTCTCACATAAATCTCCAGGATTTCAGACAGAAAGGAACCATGTTCATTAAATTATTGTTTGAACACTTTGACTTGAAAAAGCACAAGATTTCTCATTGTGTTCCAGCTACTGATGTGCTTTTCAGCAACACTTAAGATGTCAAAATCATACTCACTTTGAGGTAATTTTTTAAATACATATTTTTCTATGCCTGTTACTAACCTTAGTAACACATTTATCAAATTCATTCAAACCTACTCAAGACTTTCAAGCCAACGATCAACACAAGAGGAATTATTTTGTGGGTTTGGTTGAAGACGACCTTCATATGAAGCATATAATTCCTTGCAGTCAGTGGAGGCCGGTACTGTAATCCAGCTAAGTCCAGTTTTTCCACCAACACTTCCAGTGAATTAGTGAACAAACACCAGTTGGAAATGAGTCTACAGAACCAGTATTTGCATGCAAAAGATTAAGTATGATAACTAATAATCAGGACTTCTGATTAAATCAGGATCTGGGTTCATGGCATGCAGAGTAAGGTATGGCTATTCACGAACGGTTGAAAAATTCTTCAAGGTGCCAACTTCCTGCCAACGCTCCATTTGCATAAAGAGAATTGTTAACTACAGTAATGATGGGCATATTTTGTTTATATCTTCAGATTTTGTTTACTCTTTTATTGTATGAATGGTCAAGTGTCATTATTCATAGAACAGTTTGGCTTGGAAGGCACCTTCAAAGATCACCTAGTCCAACCTCCCTGCCATGGGCAGGGACATCTTCCACTAGACCAGGTTGCTGAAAGTCCTGTCCAACCTGACCTTGAACACTTCCAATGATGGGTCCTCCACAACTTCTCTGGGCAGCCTCCTTCCAGTGTCGCAACAATTACTCCTCCTCACCAGTCTGATATGTTATGCAGAGCACAGCATCTATATTAGCTCAAGTCAGGTGAATTATCTCACTGATTATGGAGGTTATATTAACTAATATAATCTTCAAGCTATTAATAAGGAAAATAAACTCACTGTCTGCGAGTCTTGGGAAGAAATCCCACCATCTCCATGGCTAGTTGTAACCGCTCAAAGTCATGCTTCAAGTCCTCCCCTTCCACGGAAAAGCAGTCCTGTTGGGTTCAAACAGAAAGATTAGGCATTGAAAGAAAAGATCAGAACAGGTCCAGATGGCCAAGTCAACACTTCATAAATATCATTTCGTGATCTCCATGCCTCTTATCAGCAGCTAGAACATTTCCAACCTGGCACTGGGAAATGAGATACCCAGGAGTCCCCACTGACATTATGGGGAACAACTGCAGCTAATTACCCCTGACACACAAAGCAGGGACACGGAGATTCACAGCACCACAGCAGATACAGCAAGAAACACATATGCAATACAATAAAAGACCAGGATTCTCTCCAGTGGCAAGGCAGAATTCTTCTTAAATACTAGAAAGAGTATGCAGTATGCACAATTAAAAGTTCAGGGGGTTACTTTGTTCTGGGTTTTTTTGTGGGTTTTTTTTTGTTTTGTTTTGGTTTGGTTTTTAAATCAAGCTGTTTAGTAGAACCTGCTTCTACAAGGATTTATGGAAAAGCTAACCAGAGTGCAATCTTCAATACAATAATTATTTATTAATTATACTATGTTTTTATTTATTGTATTTATTATTATACTATGTTTTTACCCAGCGCAGTTAGATGGTCTTTCAGAGGACACTACATCACCACAAACGCCTTGGTTTGAATAGCCTGGACCTCAGAGATGACTACATTGGTACATCTTTTCCAAAATAACATTTTTGGCTAATTTTTCCCAGAGATACAGCCTTATTTCCTAGGTTTAACCTCTAATGCAAGAGATGAGTCGCACCATTCTAACAGTATGGTGAGAGTTGGTCAATGTGGGACAATTAGCATACAAAAAGGATGTGAATTAACAACAAGATGAAATATGTTACAGATTTAGGAGTTCCTATAACTAAAGAGGAAGAAATCAGTTTTAAAATAGAATTCACATAGTTTGATGTAAAATATCAGTGAAGTAAATCCTGCATAGGAAAGGGAAAGCTTTAAATATATTTTTCACTAACTTTATTCTAACTACCAAAAAGTTTTCTAAAAATGCAAGCATTGAGAGAATTTGAGATCCACTACATTTTATACTTCTTGGAGGCCAATGTGTCAGAACAGTTTAATTTTTCAGATAATCCCCAACCTCACAGCAGTCATTGATACATTCAGGAAATCCAATGACATTCTGTACCCAACTAATATTGTCCTGCACCAATATTTAGGGAACATAAATGCTCCTTAAACGAGCGTATAAACTATGAATGCCAAGTTCCTTCTGCTTTGGCTTACCGTGGGCCCTCCAAGGATTATCAATTATTCTCTCTTGCTTCATAGCCCACATTTAATACTTTTTCCCATTGCTGCCTATAAAAATTCCCAATCTCCAAATCAAAATTATTGTGCATCACACAATATAGTGTTATCTTAAACCTCAGAATATTTTACTAATACTTAGAGACTTTCTACAAGTTAATCCAGATATGTTAATTAAAAATTATAGCTGCAGCTGCAATGACAATTAATTAAGCAGTTGTATCCACATAGTTTCTTTTGGTCATTTATCTGTAAATCATACTTACCACATGAGTTAGTGTGCACAAACTTGTGCACAAATAATCCTGAAAATCTGCACTAAACAGGGTTACACGAATATTACCGTGAACATCATTAAACAGGTACCAAGTAGTCACAGAATGATGATTGTTACTTGAAAAGACACTCATACTCACTTATAGTACATAGAACAAATCATAAATACAGAATCTGGGGCTGTTTAGCCTGGAGAAAAGGAGGCTGAGGGGAGACCTTATTGCCCTCTACAACTACCTGAAAGGAGGGTGTAGCCAGGTGGGGGTTGGTCTCTTCTCCCCGGTAACTAGCGATAGGACAAGAGGAAACGGTCTCAAGTTGCACCAGGGGAGGTTCAGGCTGGATATTAGGAAGAACTTCTTCACTGTCAGAGTCGTTAGGCATTGGAATGGGCTCCCCAGGGAGGTGATGGACTCACCATCCCTGGAGGTGTTCAAAAAGAGTTTAGATGTGGTGCTTCGATACATGGTTTAGTGGGTTTAGCGGGCATGGTGGCGTTGGGCATATGGTTGGACTTCATGATCTTTGAGGTCTCTTCCAACCATAACGATTCTATGATTCTATGAATCTACAGAATGAAGTTATTTTACAGTATCAGCTCTGTGTCTTAGAGCACCTACCCGCATTTAAAGCCTCATAACTGTATCAGCAACATGTTCTTTATCCCCCTCCATAGCATCATTACAGTGACAGCTACTGATTACAGGAAAAAATTCTTATTTATTTCAACATAGGAGACTACTCACACACAACTACCCTATCCCCTCCACTAAAAGCTACAGAAGTTCAACTGGACAAGAAAATAAAAAATTTTTATCAAAGGTCCTCAGGGACAACAACTTAATACTGCATGGACAAAGTGAATTTAGAGATGTTGAACAGTAAGACCATTTAAAACCATGCACAGCATCAATGAACATATAGTTTAAAATTTAACGAGAAAATAACACGCCTGCGTGTTCTCAGGAAATACTCATTAGAAAAGTGACACTTTCACCTTTTATTACAGACAACTGAAAATTACCCTTTTTAGGAGATGTATAAGGTGTTTGTCTGCAAATATTATCCAAAGGAATGCAACAAACTCATCTACACTATTTATCAGTAAGATCAGCAGACATCAGCAATGCAATTATTTATACCATAAAATATCAGAATAAGAAGTTGTCCCTCCTAAACTCAGACCTTGGCTAACTGGCTTCCTCGGCCACTACATGTATGCTGAGGAGAACCCTGAGAAGTTTTCACACCCACTACAGTGGGATCTGGAGTCTGCAGGACAATAATACACCCACAAATTCTGCAAATAAGTCTCTCAAAAACTTTTTTAAAAAAGATAGTAAGTGGTGCTTTTAGTGGCACTCCACATTGCAGGAGACAATTTCATTTTGTGGCATCATTCATTCAAAATTAAGTCACGAGTCAATGGCAAAATACCATAGACAACTCAGAAGTAGCACAATCTATGCCAAAGGCAATTTAATTAACGATTTACATAACAATTGCCAAACTCAATCCGCATGGAAAGGCCTTTTGTAAATTATCTGCTTAAAAGCGGATGCTCTCTGTAGTGTTTCAGCTCTGTACTGCTTCCTAATGGATGATAAATGGATGCTAATTCTAAAAAAAAAAA